ACTGGGTGACACAGGTTCGAATCTCAGAAGGGACATGAGTTCCTTCAGGATTGTAGATACGGTTTGCTGACGGGGGGTCGCTAGCAAGCACGAAACCTATAGGCGAGGTTTCATGCCGATCGCCTGCAAACATTTAAAAACAATAATTCACATTAGTAGTCAAGAGTATTTCTATATTCATTGATAGGTGAATTGTACTATGCATACTGACTAACACATCTCACCATTCCGTTTAGCAATACCTTTCACTTCGTGCTTATTTTCTATGTATAAGTGTATACAGCAATAATTGCCGTTGTTTTCAATAGCTCAATTCCGATAACCTTTACATGCAATCAGAAAGTTAAATTTCGAGGCTAGAGACTCATTAAACAACACAGGACAAAGTGTACCTAAAATATCCATATAGTCATAACAACATTACTAAGTAACTTTTTTTAACGTTCCTATGCATAAATGTCATTTTGTTTATAATACACCAATCGTTTATTAATTTTAATTAATATACTGATTTAGTAAACTTATAATAGTGAACTATTGAATTATATTTAACGTCGCAGCTCATTCGACCTTAAATCTCATTGTCTTTTATTCCCAACACAGATGGATGCTAAGAGACTGATGGGTATTGTATTGTGTCCTCAACAGTACCACTCAAGTGTAATAAATGTTAATAGCAAAGATTTCACACAAGAAACTCGTATAAAAACAGCTCATGCAGTTCACGTATAAAAAGAAAATATAATTTAAAGAAGCAACTCTTTTCAGCGATTTCAGTGAAACGATAATCACAATAACAGTCGACATACTTCATGAAAGTGAATAACCCAACTGAACAGTTTGAGTTATTTTATCTGTTAACATCTGAAGGACCAGTGACCAGAACTAAGCACCTGTTACTTGCTGTTTCCATGGAAGCTGATTATGCTGCTGAAGTATATACTTCAGAAGTATTTATAAATACGGTACAACTTAGTTTGTGCTTTTATGATGAACTTTGGGAGTTGCTTTAATTATTAGAATTTATTGGAGGATTTCATCATGAGCTGACATCGGTTAGAGGACCATTGGAAAACCTTAGAGTACTGGACGGCCGTTTCGTCCTAGTTTGGGACTCTACAGCACTGCGCACCCACCGTCAGGGCTCGAACCCAGGACCTTCTGGTTACAAGGCTAGCGAGCTCGTAGACCATCAAGCCATTGAGACCCGATCCAATGACTGGCCCATGAATTCCAACTTCTGCCAATTCACGATAGTTTTTATGAGTGAATGTCCTAGTCTTTTCCACTGTTCATGACTGCTTCTAATTTAAATGCTTCTCGTTCTAGCTGTGTGACGGCATTGAGATTTTGTTTCAGTGAAGTCAAGGTTATTTGACCATGGACTGTGCACAGGAAGTCTTTAGCGCTTGATTCTTGTTGACATGGTTTTGATACCATCGTGTTGGAAATATTCTATTTAGTTCGCAGGTACTTATTACCGTTGATTTTTGGAACTATTGGATCTATATAGCTGCCTGTATAGCTGTCATTGTTGAGGTAATTTTACCTTTTGATACGTTATTCTTGTTGTATAGTACCACATATTTGATTGCAAACATCTATCTTTAGGCTGTCGTCAGAACATTTTGGGACTATGGATAACTCAGGATTTTTTGTCTAGCTATACAGTAGAACGCAATGATTAGTTTCTTGCACTCAGAACAAAACACGTCGGTTTCGGTAGCTACATTACCTATTAAACTCTACTTGTAAATTATGCCTTATCTTTAGGTACTATATAAAATTCACGGATATAACATGTACGATTATAAATTAAACACATTGGGGTAATATAATCAGTTTCTCTTTTTAGGAACATAGTAATAGCGATGCTCTTATGAATAGTAAAGTGTGTTCTAAGAACTATCTAATAAAAGAAAACCAGTTCATTACATGCTATACTTATAAAACGAATTAACAATTGACGCATAGAAGGCCTGTTTACCCTATTATACAATACTATCAGTCTAAATTAATTCATGGAGGATTTCATCATGAGCTGACATCAGCTAAAGAACCACTGGAAAACCTTGGAGTACTGGACAGCTGTTTCGTCCTAGTTTGGGGCTCTTCATCAGTAGGCACCCACCGGGATTCGAACCCAAGACCTTCTGGTTACAAGGCGAGCTCGTAGACCATTGAGCCACTGGGACGCGATCCAATGGTCCTTGAATTCTAACTTCTGCCAATTCACGACATAGCGCGACCATTTCGCAATGTCTTCTTCGATGAGTTACTGCCTCATCTTCAAACTGCTGTACCCTACTGGTCACGGCTTCCCACTAGAACCCCAGGTTAACTGCCTGAATAGGGCCAGTCACTAGTGAGCATCAGGATAATTTTCAAGTATTGGTTTTGTAGGGATTTGTTTGATTGCACGGTGGGTGCGTACTGATGAAGAGTCCCAAACTAGGACGAAATAGCTGTCCAGTACTCCTAGTTGGTTTTCCAATAGTTCTTTAACTGATGTCAGCTCATGATGAAATCCTCCATGCAATCAAACAAAACAAAAAATCCCTACAAAACCAATACTTTTAAATTAATTCAGACATAATATTATGCAATATAACCATTATTTTACGAATTAGAACAAGCTCTAACATGAATTTACCGTGCATATATATATATATATATGAAACTTCTAATTGACGTTTGAAATTTGAGCTCATCAATATTCTATTAGGAGTAAATACAAAACAGGAACCCATTGATCTGTGTATAAATGATCTGGTATTAACATGGAATCAGTGTTTACTCCTTAATTATCTATTCAAGTGAGTGTCCTGATAGAAATCTGCATTGAAATCAGTTTCATTTTAAAGATGATTAATTTAAATGATGTTCTCAATCAATTAAGAATTCGTGAGTATATTGATTTTATGACAGGTTAGTATAATAATGCAATTATGCTTCCATCGAGTTGACTTACTCTGTGGTGTTTGAACGTCTGAAGGAAGCATAGGGCTTCAAGAGTTAACCTTTGAATTTGCAGTACTACTGTTGTTCTTTTACATGCTATGGCTGGTAGCTCCACGCCCAACCCTCCCTTCTTTACACCTTACTATTAGCTAGTGAACCAGTTGAGGTTTGAGAGTACGTCAGTCGAGAATCGAACTGCAGACCACGTGATTGTCTGGCGAGCATTTTACCATTGAACCACCGACGGACACAAAAGGGAAATATTTGTCAACACTATTATCATTCATCGAATTAACATTTCACAGTGAAAGTGAGCTAAACTACCCACAAATGCAAGAGTAAATTGTTTTAAAGCCCAGAAGTTTAATACAACTTCATGTGTTATGAAGCAATAAAATCACATAGTTTTGAAGATTAGCGATGCAACTTGTCTGCAAACATCAAGCACGTGAAGGGAAATTAACACCTACACCGAAACTCACTAATTAAAGCATCTATTCCGTCTTACCTTCTACATCAAGAAGTTAAAACATTCTGGTATAACCCAACCCTTACTCCTACAATTCGTTAATTCTCGCATTCTGCCTATTATTCTCTATTGTTCCCCCTTAGTTTTCCCAGGCTACTGAAGAAAGACTTTAACATATTACGCAGGATGTTAAAGGTTGTCAGCAGGGTAAGCAACGTGCCACTTAACCAGCTTGTTAATATTCTGGTCGACAGGCACATGGACTCATGTGAAAAATGGGCCAAATCCATTTTATCTAACTCACACCACCCTCTTCACTCACAACTCTCCCCTTGCATCTCATCAGGCAAAACCAGAAGCCTATATAGAAAACTATATGCTCGCACCAGCAAGTACAAAAACTCAACCATACCCTACTTAGCTCGTGTTCTGTGCGATAAAGAAAGCATTAGGCGTGACACATATAATTCATTAAATAGTCAGTAGTACAACTGGACCTCGTCTTTCCAACTAATACCATTTATAGGTACAACATTTTCTTTCTTTCTTTTCCTATTCTCTCTCTCTCTTTTTTCCGTTATGTGCTGCTTTGTTTCTTTCTTCCGCTTACTCCAGTAAATATGATAGCACCTACTTTTCTAACACCTTCAAACACTGTTCAACTTTGGCTTTGCTATCGATATGCCAATATGTTGTTTGTCATAATGAACTGAGATTTCCCTTATCTATGTAGAATTCTATTTATTGATAATGTACTAACTGGATGCAATACTGTAGTAAAAATGCTGAGAATTCCATTCTGTATCACAAGTACTGTTTTGGAATAAAGCAAATTATTATTATTATTATCTACGGCTGCAACCAAAGTGCTGAAACTGAATAAGTTTCAAAGCTAAAATAACTTAGACACGAAGTAATTAGTGAGCATCTTATATATATATATATTTGCTTGCTTAGATTTATTTAATAATGACAAGACTAATCTCTATCTCAAAACTATTTATTTGATCTATCGTCAAGTTTGAATAAATGAAAAGGCGGAATGAAATATAAAATAGGCATGTATTTATATTATGATGTATAAAATAAAGCTTTAAAACCACAAATTATGGAAGACTTGGACTAGATTAGTTACTAAAATAATGATCTCGAATATTTCCTTCTATAACAAATCAATAAACCTCTTAATGTATGTATATTTGATTGAACAAAATTACTAACATTTACTCGCCTTCTTCACTTTTTGATGATAAGTAACATGAAAGAAATTGTTGATTATTTCTTTGAACTGCTAGTTAGAAGGCTTGTTGTTTTAACTGCTTCGTATTTACCCATTGAAACAAAAATGATTGCCCAACACAGAGTATATGCAATTTCGCTAGGTTTTTTATTTATCATCTTATGGGATGTGCTTATACGTAATTAGTAAGAAGGCAACATTAAGTTGTATTCCATTAATCTGTTTTCCAGCATTCATTGAAACTGATGTCTTTGAGCATTAACAAGATTTTACTGAAGATGTTGTCAAGGTTTATGGATTCATACTACTGAATGCATAAATTAGATTTCACTAAACCGTCTGTTCTCCACCGACATATGAAAACTTGTGTTTAGAATTTAAATAATCATCCTTATCATAATACGGAGTATTTCCATTTTCTGTATCAGACTCAATAGTCATTGTTGTATCAGATATTATTTGGTTATCAGTAAAACCTGAATTATTATTATTAGTAGTAGTATTATCATTTTCAGTAATAGTATCTGTATTAGTTATAGTAGGAGTAGTGGAAGAAGGCAAAGAATAAGTATTAGTACTAATAACACTGCTGGTAGGATGTGAGATATGTGTAGCAGTTGGTGTTTTTATTGATTTATTCATATTCCGTGGAAAAACGCTTCCACCTGATTGCTTTTGACCCCATTTAAAATATTTGATGTTCTTAAATCTTTTCTTTTTATTGGGCACACCATCTGTTTCTTGAGTTAACTGTGAATCATGAATTTTACGCATCATTTGCGTACGACGTGATTCAGGCAGACTAGTTTGTGCGGCAATCGCTAATAAACGATTCAGTGTTTTATCATCACAAGTGATCTCTTTATAGTGTTTACGATCATTTGTAAAATGAAACAGAATTAAATCAGTTACTATTGTTGATATGCCTAACAATGCTAGACCAGAACCAAGTCGCATTGAGAATGATAGTAGATTGAATTTTCCAGCTCTTCCAGTAACACGTATTATAAACTGAACACCATTGACATGCATTAGAATACGCTTGCGATTCTTAACCATTTCTGTATCATAGCCGAAGTATGAAGTGATGCGCATAGAAAATCCTTCAAGAAGTGTAGTCATCTCGTCCTCGTCATCGATAAAGTCATCTTCACCATTTAATTTACGTGTCATATAAGAGTAATCAAATGTCATCTCTGGGATGTCAGTTTTGTTTGATGCTGATGACGAAGATCTGACATGATTATCCTTCTGACGGTAAGTTTTATTTTTCCCATTAACTTTCTCTGGTTTTTGAACACTTTCCAATTCTAAAAATTCATACTGCGGTAAGCAGTAATCAATAGGCCAATCTAAATCACATTGCCAATTAATCGTGACTGCTATAACTCCACCATATTTCAACATGCGATTTGCATTACTTCCAGCAAATTTAAATATATCACCTATACGGAACTTGGGACAGTACTGATCAATTGTGTGTTCTGGATTATACAAACAATCGTTCAGATAACTTTTTGTCATCCATGGTAAGATGTTACGTCGTTTCGTTTGGAAAGCAGGAAATTCTATGCTATTCTTAATAAGAACTGTGAAATTAATAACTTCGAAAAATGGATCAGCAGAGTGTGGTGTACGTTCGTTAATTCGATTTTTGGCATCTAGAAATTCTAAATCTGTAAAATAACCATAATATTCTTCTAAAATGTTTATTGGTTGAGTTAGAACTCTCTTTACATTACGTTCTTTGCGTAGCTCGTGCTCATAGTCATCTTCAGTTGGACACCAACCAAATATTTCACATTTCCCACGATCTTTTAAACATTTCCCGGTAAATATTCCGTGTGCACTTTCATCTGATACAACCAAAATCTCATCTTCATTAATACGGTCTGAATCATAAATCTGATGATCAGCTTGATAACCTCCTGGACATTGATAGTCTTCTAAGCACTCTGCATCATGTAGGTGATCACCTTCGCTACATGTTGTCATGTTTTGTATAACAGAGTGTTTAATTCTTGTTATCAAGTAAAAAGCAGAATTCGGTGATGGCTGTACTTGATAGTCTGCACTATCCAGTACAATTATGCCGTTAGTGTCATGATTCTGATGCTTAGGCACATGCTTCCAGGCTATACCCTTTACTTTAGCTGCCACACCGCTTACTGGATTATCAAATGATTGATAGCCTCTGTTTAACCACATCACATAAATAATGAAATATGAAAGTATGAAAAGTTGAATTAAACGATGTATCATTGCCAATACTGGTTGACGAATGATTACAACACGTGGCATGTCAAAAACAAATATTGACCTTAGTATATTCATGCTGAATATGAACAGGTGTTCTAATTTCACCAATTAGTATAAACTCCTTTCACAGGTCCACATCCAATGCTACTATCTTATAAACAGAATAGAAATATTGAGTTTAAAATAGAATTACTGCTAGACTTTAATCGTAGATCTTGCTTCCCCAAATTCTTTAAAAAGCCTTTTACATCAATTTTAACAGTTCCACATGCTTTTTTTGTGAACTCGACTGTTCACTTGTTCAATCAGTGTACTAAATATTTAAAAATACCAATGACAGAATGTAAAGACTTCATTTCAGTGTCTTACTTTCAACTTTGTATGAAATTAGATATTGACAACATTTGTCATGTTGAAACAAATAGTTGTTTGAACATACAATACACTTTTTACTTTACCCGGTGTTTATAACACACTGTAGCAAATCCAAAATCTCTTCCATATTGTATAGCAAAGCGCAATAATACATATCAAATCATGAGAGGTATCATAAAAGACAGAATGAAAATAAAATGTAGTAATCAGGGAACATAGATGAAATTCTTGGTAATTCCATTCTGTTATGTTTGCAATCAAATACCATTAAGGCCTTCTTGAAAATATTCTCTGTGTTGAAATACGTGAGATACGTTAAATGAATTACATTTGTATCAACCAATCATGTTACATCCAAAAGTGTACATCAGTTTAGTGTAATTAAGAGTTTATTATATATACACGCTTATCTGTACAAAAATAATGGGGCAGGATACATATATAGAGGTATTATTATGTAGGCATATCTTTTCTCCAATGAACAATGAATCGCCTGTGAATGTCATTTGAAAATATCACAGACTTCTTTTATAAATCAAAGAAAACTTTCCAATTGTAATTTCTTTTGCCAATTTGATAATGTAAATTGTCGAATCAAGTGCGAATGTTAAAACAGAGAGGGGGAGAGAGAAATAGAACGAACTATTAATTGGAATATATACACATATACAATAAATATGCAATTGTTATACAGTTGTCACGTGTACAAACAGTAAGATTATACATACACTTTCATACTGAATAAAAAATTTTTGATAGCATAGTGTAAAACAAAACATTTATTTGTCAGATTTTAGTAATATATTTAGAGATGGTAAAAAATTGACGGGAAAACAGAATTCATAATAGATGTATTCACTAACCGACATCATCTAGAGAACCGCCCGAAAATCAGACAGCCCTGATTGATTGTTTCATCCTAGTGGAACCATGAAATCAGATAAATCGCTGCAAATCAACACAAATAAAACTAGTTTCAACCGTTTGATAGAAATTGCTTCGGTAAACTTGAGGACAATCAAGCTCCCTTGTCTATTGATAATTTTAAAGGATTTCGCAATTTCCACCTACCGAGGAGATGTCTGGTAATAGCTCTATTATAAGAATGGCAGTCCACTTAGCCCTGTTTTAGCAGATATCTTCATGTCAAACTTTGAGAAAACAAAGTTGAAGCATGTAACTGACCAAACAACTTCCTATTGTCGATATGTCAATGACACATTTGTAGTGTACAACAATGAAAGTCATACTTCCTACCTACTCAGATTATTCAACGACGCACATTCAAATATTGAATTTACTATGGAATATGAAAATGATGGAAAGTTCCATTTTCTTGACATTGCCATGCAACGCCTAGAAGATGGTAGTCTCCAGAAGTCAATTTACCGAAAACCCACTAGGAAAGAACAATACCTATATTTTAATAGTTCTTGTCGAAATAGCTATAAACGAGCACTAGTCAAGACTTTGTACTATAGAGCGAGGAGAATATGCTGTGCAGAGAAACTAGAGGAAGAATTTACGATTCTCGAAAAGGTGTTGAAAAACAACGATTATCCTCAAAGATTCATTAACAAATATGGAAGATGTGAAGGCTCAAATATCAAACAAATCACAGTGGAGAAAAAGCTAGTCTACATTCAACTTGATTATAAAGGTGAAAACATCACAGCAATGGTCAACAGAAGATTGAGGACTCCAAAGCCTATCCTGCAGCTAATCTCGTTCCCATCCAACGAACAACTTGCTCTTTGCTGCAATCAAAAATCGATAGACATCCTTCTCATGTTGACTCCAACTGTGTATACAAATTTACGTGTATCTGCGGGAGCAGTTACATTGGGAGAACAGAAAGAGGAGCGCACCTCCGATTTTCTGAACATGGGCCGAAAAGCCTACGTCTCAAGGGAACACACTGTTATAATAGCGCTATTACCTGACAAATAAAACTATATATTTATGCTTCTAGATTCACAGCATAAATTGGCTAAAGTCCGCTATTATGTAAACTCGTTGCTACAGTACTTTGATACTGTTTGTGGTAATATCTTGATACCTGTCTGTTAAATGTGTCACCATTCTTGTAAATATTGGTGTCACTCCTAATATTCTTGCAGTTTATGTTTATTTTCAAGTATTGGTTTTGTAAGGATTTTGTTTAATTGCATGGAGGATTTCATCATGAGCTGACATCAGTTAGAGAACCACTGGAAAACCTGGGAGTACTGGACAGCTGTTTCGTCCTAATTTGGGACTCTTCACAGTATGCACCCACCATGCAATCAAACAAAATCCCTACAAAACCAATACTTGAAAATTATTCTGATGCTCACTAGTGACTGGCCCTATTCAGGCATTTAACCTGGGGTTCTAGTGGGAAGCCGTGACCAGTAGGGTACAGCAAGTTGAAGATGAGGCAGTAACTGATCGAAGAAGACATTGCGAAATGGTCGCGCTATGTTGTGAATTGACAGAAGTTCGAAATCAAGGACCATTCGATCGCGTCCCAGTGGCTCAATGGTCTACGAGCTCGTTAGCCTTGTAACCAGAAGGTCCTAGGTTCGAACCCTGATGGTGGGTGCGTAGTGCTGTAGAGTTCCAAACTAGGACGAAACAGCTGTCCAGTACTCCCAGTTGGTTTTCCAGTGGTTCTCTAACTGATATTTATGTTTATTATCGAAATATTAAGTAATCATTCCGACAAAACGATAGACTGAGTCTCTTTTAGATTAATTCTGTTGACATATCAGTCCCTAGTGGGGACGCTTCGATGATAACTAAGGATTGACGTGAAACTATTTTGGTTGGGAGTGACTAGCAGCTGGACCGAGGATGCACACTCGTCCTATTCGTGACTTGTCAGATCGATGTGTCTGGGTTCCCACTGAGTGATGGTGGTGTTCCCACTGAGATTCGAACCATGTTCCCATCGTTTCAAATGTCAAAGCATTATCTACTAGGCCATGAGGTGCTGTCTAAACACCACTCACTGGGAATGCAGGTATATCTAGCTGACAGGTCCTGAACAGGATGAAATGAGCATCCTGGATTCGACTGCTAGTTGTCACTAACAGACTGTTTGACTGTGAATGGTTATCATTGAGACAGAATATACGCCAGCCTAAACTAATTAGGGAGATGCAGTAATTGCTCATCTGAAGTACTTATACATATGAATTAGCTATCGCTGAACAATAAATAAGCAGATTTCCAGACTGGTATTATCTATGTTCATGATTCAAATTCTGGTATATTTTAGGACGGTTTTGAATCCAGCAGTCACTTTGATAGTAACACAACACTATCAAACAAGACTGTGTGTGCAGCTGCTTAAATAGGCAGATTCTATAAAGACATTTGTTTGAATTTAAAGAAACTGATTTCTTAACCTTTTACTACTTAGAAAAATGAGTAGGTAAACACCTCAGTATATATATTATCATAGTATGGAAATTTTAATAAATGAGAAAATTAGCATCTACTTCCATATAACGCCTACTAAATTCCTGAACTCTACCATGGAAGGTGAAATCTTAGCCTAAAGCCATACATTTCAATATTCAATGCTCTTCCAATTTTCAATTCTATGCTATTAAAACGTCAATAGCATATGTGTACGTTTATATATGAATCAATTTCAAAATTTATTAGTACTTGAACCAAAATCTCTTGTACAAAATTCTGACTGATGTTTTCACTCTTTTATATATTATAATCAGGTTTCTAACTCAGTTATATTGTAACAGTAGCAGGCAAGACACGGAAGTCAAAGGATGTTTTCAAATGATCAAACCGCTATTTATAAATATACAGTTTATATTCGTTAACCAATCACTGAGCGTGCGATTTTGGTTTTTCGTTAAACGATATGAAGCGGAATGTTTAAATGCATGCATAGGATACTGTCGATAATACGGTATCGAACTGCGGGAATATGTGAGAATAATATTCCGTTGGAACACATTATCTGAATCATACCACCATAATGTGATTACCACTTAATGACATTTAATATAAGGACTACTGCTTATTTAAATTGTAACCTTCTCATAGATTGCACATCTGCTTCGACTCAGTACCTAGGGACATTTTGTTAAACAAGCTTGCTGAAACTCAAACTGACTGTTGGGTTGTCAAATGGCTCCATTCTTATTTCTCAGGAAGAAAGCAGTGCATTGTGTGTCAGGGAAAGTCGTCCACTTCGTTGCTTACTGAGGCTGGTGTCCCTCAAAGCGCTGTCCTTTCTCCATTTCTGTTTTCTTTCTTCTTGTATGAATTGCCTCACTCCGATGAAATGAACTTTGTTAAGTATGCCGATGATCTAACTATTTCAATGTCTGTTAACTCTCAGCTTGACTGTATTAAGATTAACAACTTTCTATCAGAAATTAGCAAATGGTCTTCGTCTAACGGCCTTAAACTTAATCCTTCCAAATGTCAGACTGTTAATTTCAGTTTCCGATGTAAACGAAAGTTAAATGAAGCCGTTGGTTCCTATGACCCTTGCAAAATTGATGATACTGATATAGAAACCAAGTCTGAAGTTAAGTATCTTGGATTAATTCTCTCTTCTGACCTATCCTGGTCCTCCCATGTCTTAGCGATTTCTAAAAGAATATTTCGTCTGACTTTTTACATTAAGAAGTTAAGGCACTCAGGCATAACTCAACCACTCCTCTTAAAGTTTGTCAACTCGTGTATTTTACTTATTCTTCTTTACTGTTCACCCTTATTCTTTCCTGGATTGCTTAAAAGGGACGATGTCATACTACTTAGAACTCTGAAGACTGTCAGTAGGACGAGTGGTATCCCATTGGGACATATCGTTGACATTGTCACTGATAGGCACTTGATGTCATGCAACAAATTTTCTAAAGGAATTTTGTCACACTCTGAGTACCCACTCTACCCGCAGCTCCAACCTTGTGTCTCCTCAGGTAAAACAAGAAGTCTTTTTAGAAGAATTTATGCACGTACGTCTAAATATAAAAATTCCACTACACCATACTTAGCACGTACTTTATGTGATGAAAATAGTGTTAGGTATGAACAAACGAACCTTCATAGCATCACTAAATAAACCATTTCCTCCA